AACTGAAGATAAAAAAATCATTAAGCTGAACTAACTGTCAATAATTTTACTCAAGATATTGAAATAAACATGACTTAAAATTTAAAATGTATCAATTTTTTAAACTTATGTCTTCAATTAGCATTACTGTTGAGTTAAATACTATCCACATTGTTCAACCAATCTCTATGACAGTTAATTAAAACACTATATTTTAACAGTCAATATGTGTACACACAGAGAAATGATTTCAACATTTCCACAACCCATATGTAGAGTACTACGGTGTTTCCCAGAAAATAAGACAGGGTCTTATATTAATTTTTGCTATAAAAAACGCATTAAGCCTTATTTTCAGGGGATTTTTCATGTATAATAATCTACATTTATTCAAATACAGTCATGCCATCTTCTTCTGCTTGCTCCACAATGGTAGAGGGCAGGGTTTCACTTAATTGGGGCTTATTTTTGGGGTAGGGCTTATATTATAAGTATCCTGAAAAATCATACTAAGGCTTATTTTCAGGTTAGGTCTTATTTTTGGGGAAACGGGGACTACACGGGAGTTTCCAGCCAGTTACCCTTTCCCACACCAGTATCTTCTCCAATGAAAAGAAAACTGCATTTGCGGGAAGGCAGAGACCTAACTGTACATTCATGACATTAATTAGATTAAACTCTCTACTCTGTAGAGCAGACAGAAAGAATCCCCACAAAAATTATCACATTAGCAGCTTCTTTAAAGGGAAAATGTATATAATACCAAGATTAAACACAGAAGACTTTGAAGTTATTTTGATTTATAATTTGCTCATATGGTCAAATGAAAAATTGACAATTCAAAAGTAAGATGGACAAGAATGAGAGAGAAAATGAGAAAAAACACTAGTAAAATCTTGGGCTTTTCACCTGCCTCTCTTACATCTCATGGGAAGTGATTACTGTATGTGACTTCCAATATGCAACAGGTTGAAACAAAGTTTCAGATGAACAAAAGTTTCATACAAATACGTGGATGACATGAAAATAGTATGCAAGAGGTACATCTGAAAGAGCCATGGAAATTAATTTAGGATGAATTCTAAAATAATATATGCAACCTAAGTTGCATAAACTAATAAGAATCACTGATATTTGCTGTGATCAGTTCCAGTTGAAGACTCTAGTAAAATACAGACTTTCATCCCATATTACGAGCAAAACTGTTGCAATGCTACAAACTTCTCAAAATTTTGACAAATTGGACTGCTTGAATGATTCTTAACATTTATAAGATACAAAATTTGCGAACATCAATATCTATTACCTTTATTTATTAACGAGAATTTGGTTATTCCCAAACTACAAATGAGGTAAAAAAATAATAATGCTAAATTTGAGTCACTTTATTTTAAAAAATACAAATAAATACAAGAGCATTTTATCAGAATAAAGGGGGACTAGTAAATATATATGTAAAGGTAAGTTTCTGAAAGTAAAGAAAAGAAGACAGATATTTATTAAAGGTCCTTACACTTTTAATTTGACTTGCTTCCATTATTGCTGTGTTATGAATTTATTTACCTCATAAAAGTGCTACAAATCAAACTTATAATGGCTGAAATCCATTATAATTAGAGTATGCCCACTGAACCTCTGTAAATTCTCCTAATTCCCCTAATTGTGTTTTACCACTGGATTTTAGTCAGTGACTAGCACAGGACCACTAAGCAATATTTGTGGGTAATCTGGAATTTGGTCTTCCATACTGATGAATAGCATTCTGCCCACAAGTAAAGAGCCTCGTGGCGCAGTGGTTAAAACGCTGTACTGCAGCTAAAACTGTGCTCACGACCTGGGGTTCAAATCCCAGGTAGCCGGCTCAAGGTTGACTCAGCCTTCCATCCTTCCGAGGTCGGTAAAATGAGTACCCAGCTTGCTGGGGGGGCAATGTGTAGCCTTTATAATTAAAATTGTAAACCGCCCGGAGAGTGCTTGTAGCGCTATGGGGCGGTATATAAGTCCAATAAATAAATAATAATAAATAAATGTGAAAATATGACATTAATGTTAAGAAATGAGTAGTTAAATTAGTAGGAGGTCCTACAAAATCCAGGGCAGGGCTATTAACAACATTCTGATCAGTTAAGGCAACACTACCTCTATGCTTCCATTATCTTCTGTATCTGTATACCTATATTTTGTTCCTCCGTCCAACCAACTCCCTAAACATTTGAACATGTCAAGCTGAAGTATCTATTCCTTGAAATGATCTCCATCTAAACTTCTGGAATAGGTCTTCTTTGGCTAGCTGTGCACCTAGAGGCAAAACTCAAGTTACTCAAGGTTATGCCAAAACAGTGCCAGTGCAAAGTAACCACACACACCCCAGCTCCAAAGGAAAAACAAGCTTAGCTATTAGCATCTTACTTCCCTTAAGCTTTTACAGTGGTTCCTCGCAAGATGAATTTAATTCGTTCCGCGGTTAATGTTGTCCTGCGAAAACTTCGTCTTGCGAAATGCGTTTTCTCATAGGAATGCATTGAAATCTAATTAATGCATTCCTATGGGCAAAAAAAGTCAAAACAAAGTCAAATTTGGTTTACAAAGGGTTTATTAAGTGCTCTTTAAAGCCATACATATTATGCAGATGATTTTAAAAATTTCAATCAAAAAACTTTAACTTTTTAAACATCATAGAAAAACATTTAAAAATCAGCAAACATGAGGCAAGAACAAGAAACAGAAAAGATTTGTCTTGCGAAGCACGGCCATAGGAAAATTTGTCTTGCAAGTCATCAAACACACACCCATTGCCAAAACCATTTGTTTTGCGAGTTTTTTTGTCCTGCGAGGCATCTGTCTTGCGAGGCACCACTGTACAAGTGAGAGTTCTAGTCTTCAAAAATATATCCATGTAAAACTAACCTATCCTAATATATGCAAAATCTTTAATTTCAAACAGTCATTTAAAATGTGTTTGTCCATTGTTGAATACATTTTGTGAGAATGACAGACTATAGTTTGAGCATATGCACTGAAGTATTTCAGTTAAAATACCTTTAATGAATCAAATGTAGTTATTTCTTTATGCTATGAAAGACTGTGCATGTACAGCTTATCAGACTTTAATAAGATTCAACTCTATTTTCATATTATTAAATACCTCTGTACATTATATAGTTACATTTATATACTGGATACAAACAACTGATTACCATAAAGATTTAACAGTCTTATGGTTGGTTCTCTGTTAAAGTCAATAGACATTGAAAAAGTGCTGAAGAAAACTTCAAATGCCATCCACAATTATTTCTCGTAACAGGTCCATAGAATATTAAGATGGGACAAAAGGGAGAGAAGGGGCAGAAACAGGAAGAAGAAGAAAAAGGATTGTGCTTGAATAGTTATTTATATATGGCCAATTCCTTTTAGCAACAAAGACACGACCTTAATGAACAGAGACTTTCAGAAATTCAGCACCAAATTTGTCGGGCATTAATTATGTCTTGAGAAACTTGTGTTTGTGTGTATATGTCTGTGTGTGCTTGTGTGTTTTAATTATCAGGCAGTAAATATTTGATAACGAATTCCTCAAAAGTCTCAGTTCACGAAGCAGTATTTCATTTCAATTTCAGATGCAACCACTCATCGACTCTTTAAATGAATTTAGTGATTGCTTAGCTGGGGAGTCCATGGGTACCATTATTCTCTTTGTTGAGCTCAGAGTGGTCCACCAACACAAGTCTAGTCCTCCTTCTTTCACTGGACTGAGGAAGTGGACTTGTCCACAAATGCTCAAATTTTTAAAAAGTTAGTCTTTAAGGTGCCACAACAGTTTTGTCTTTTTTTATTTTTTATTCTTCTTTCGTTTTTGCCTGATATGCTAGCACAGACTAGCATGACTACCCTTCTAAAAATGTTAGATTACTGTGAACCAGGGCAGCTCATGGCTCCGGCAGGGGTGCTCCTATGCATACTCTAAAATTCCACAAATTAAAATTGTCTTTCACGTAGTCTTTTAAATATTCCAGCTATGTTTCTCTTTGTGCTTCATGAAATGTGAACCCTGGAAATGGTTTTTTGGGCTGGGGGGAGGGGAATGCAACTTCCAGAAGCCTGCCAAAACATGGCAACTTCTGGGAACTGTGGCCTAAGAAATGACTTCTCCAAAGTGATTATTGAATTTATGTCTTGCTACCAGGTTTCCCATAGCCATTAGGTTGACTACTATGAGAAAAGAATGCTGGAGTACACCATAGTGGAGTACATAGCCTTTGCTATGAACCACTATGGTTCTCCTCAGGACCCAATTTTCTGTGGCACAGTCCACGCTAGCAGCTCCTTGCACTGTAGTTTTGCAGGTTTAGCAACATGTCAATAACTAGACAGGTAAACTGCTGGAGCAAGGCTTTACAAAATAAACATTAACTAGCAATGATGGGAGCTATTCCACTGGAGAGCTAAAAGAGAAAAGAGAAATTGGCTAACACAAGGCCAGAAAACAACAGGGAAACCAGCTGGCAGAGTACTAGGTGTGGGTCAGAGAGATCTGAGACAGTGATGATACACCAGTATGAGAGGAAAGTAGGGACACAAAACAGGATAGAAAGAAAGAGCTGTAGTTGGAGGCAAGGCCAGAATTGGGGACCTGTTCAGACAGCCAGATAAATAGACACATGAACTACCAAATTCAAACAGAGGAAGTGGACTAGCTGGAAAAAAATACACCACAAGGAGCTCTGGGTGACCAGCATAGCCCACATGCCCATTTTCCCACAAGCTTCTAGCACATCCCATGTTGCAAATAATTTCTGCAGAAGTTGTTGGATAGCTTTTGATTACGAAATGAAAACAAGCTTCTACTGTACACCTGGGAAGCGGGCAGGGCCAAGACTCTCAGAGGCTACATTTCGGTAGGTAAGGAATAAAACTATAAGAGACTTAACATTGAACAGCATAAACATTTAACTAAAAAGAAAACAGTGGGGAGGGGTACCTAGGGGGACTGTTAAACATATGAAGCAGGGCAAAGTATTTACCTGATGCATCTCCAACCTTAAAGTCACTGTCATCTGAACTGTCATAATCTAGAGCTTCCAGCAGGGAAGCAGCCAAAGGCTTCACCTGCCTCCTCTTCGAGCTACGATCCACTGTGGAAAAAGAAAAGAGAAACAGAACTACTGGACAGCTCAATGGTTCGGGTGTGTTTCTTTGGAGACTGCAAAAGAATGTAATAGGGAGAGATGGTCAAAAAATGTTTAGAGAGAGAACTTTCAAAACGCCTAGAACTCGTTTGATTTCTACACGCGTCAGAAGGGTAGGTCGTGGGAACGGACCGCTTCTCCTGCATGGCTCCCGGTCTCCGCAGAAGGTGGGGGGTGGGGAAAGCAGCCGAGCCCCTCCCCCCGCCATGACCAGCCCTCACCACAAAATAACGGCACGGGAGGAACGAGGGGCCACCCGCAGTCGTTACACCGCGCTTGAGGGGACGGGTGTGGACGCCAGGGAATCGGAGGCTGGAGGCGTCCGCAGCCCCGGGAAGATTCCCGTCGCTGCATCGGATAGGGAATTGAAAAAGAAAAAAAGGAGGAAAAGAAAAAGGCGGGCAGCGGCTTGGGCAAAGGGACGAGGGCGGGAACGGGTCCCCTCCGGGACTCTGGAGGACTTACTCACTGGAGCCGAGCAGCCGCTGCCGGGCATAGGGGAAGGCGGCCTGTGCCCGGCAGGGCGCTTCGCTCCCCCTTCAGAAAGCAACGGCGCTACTGCTGGCAAAAAGAGGCTTCGGCGTCTCCTAGGCCAGTTCCCGTCGCCCAGACAATAGGCGAAACCGCGCTCCGGATGCACTTCCCTCCCCCACGTCTCCCAAAACAGGAACCGACTCGCCGGGCCTCGGGACGGGGTTTTCGCGCAGGCGCATGTGCGGGACCTCTCCGCGCAGACGCGTTAGGAGGGACTGAAGGCTTTGTCCGGGCTTCGCTCGGGAGGGATGGAGTGAGAGGTGGCGGCGCGCTTTCCTATTCAGCACCACAGAAGTCCGAGGGTGGCCGCGGGAGGGTGGCGGGGTCTCATTCTGGCCATGGCCCAGCTTGTGCCGGAAATTGTATATATTGTTCTTGAATGCAGAGCTGTTCTTGTTTTTTATTATTATTATTATTATTATTATTATTATTATTATTATTATTTGCACCGGGAAGAGAAGGCGCATATCTAGGGTTTTGGAAGGAGACTTCAGTAAGCCATCATAAAATATGTGTATTGTATGATGGTGTTTTTTTTTAAGTGATCTATATACATTATTGCCTACTTTTGCATTTGTGTTTCATTTTGTATTGACCACACAGCTCCTTTTTATTTCAGCAAGCCAGTATCCACTTGGGATGGTCTTCCACCGTTATTATATAAATTGGTAAAAGATTTTGGGTGCTGAGAACAAGGGGAAAGGTTTCATTTATATCATTTTACTTCATGTTGTTTTGTTTCATACAAATGTTCTTCCAGTTTTTCCATCACCTGGGTCAAGTGTTTTACTTGGGACCTATGGCCATTACTCCTGTGAGCACAGGCCGTGTCTCCTCATTAATTTTGGAGTTTCTCATCTTTGTTTCCCCCCACACACACAATCATGCACCGAAAGACAGTCCAAAAATTTAAGGAACTGCCCTGATCCAAGTCAGCAAACCAGTTCTAGCAGTTATCATCTCATGTAGAAGCATACTTCTTGTAAAGCTTATGGATCTCAGTGGTGCATCCAAGACCAAACTATCTGAAAACACTCTGCAGTACAACATTATGATGCTGAGAAAATCCACTACCCACCTCCTGCTACTGTGAAGACTCCAGCTAAACCTGGGGGTGGGGGAAACAGGATAGTCAGTGAGGTAACACCATTTCTGTTAATTAAAGAACTCCCAGCACGTGTACCCTGCAAATACTGACTCCACTATCCCATTGATCTCATTAGTTTTAGTAAGACCGCTGCATCATGTGTCCTCAGATTAAGGTCCCATTGCTTCAAGAAAATACAGCTTTCTGAATGGTAATGGAGCATGTTGTTTACAGTGGTTTGTGAAAAGTTAAACACAGCAAGTCAGCAAATGGCTATTTTCCATGGTGTTATTTAAAGGGGACCTTAAACTGTATTGTCATCTGCAATCTATAGATTTCATATTTTCATGCAAATATATGATTTCTCTCTTGCAGTTGAGAGCAGATGGGCTTGCAAAAGTGTACCTTCCCACCCTCTTCCCTGTGGCATATTCTTCAGAAACCTTAAAATGCTGCACAAGTGGATGAATCCTGCTGAATGAGGTGAGTTTTCCTTCTGTGGAAAATGTCACAGCAGGAAAGTGGTCAGTGCAGCTCTCCATAGTAGCAGTGCCACATTCAGTGTCTTCAGAGTGAGGCACTGAGCTCACCAAATGCCTTATTCTGAGGAAGGCGCTCTTGAACAAACACTGGCGGGCTTAGATTGCCCATACAATGTACTGCTGCTTATGCAGGAAGACAGAAGAAGAATAAAATGGAAGACCAGAGAGAAGAGTATAATGGCAGCACTTCCTCTTAGCTCAGACAGTGGGGCCTCTTGAGATGATGTTGTCTGAACTAGTATATGACATATCCACAATTGTAACTGGAGAAATGGCATTCATTGACTTACTTATCTATCTGCTTCTGCCAAAAGACTTGACCCTTGGTGACAAAAAGGATGTTCATACATTATATTCAATGTGTCTGACATCTGTATGCATATGTAGACAGATTATCAATCTGTACACTCTCAAATACCACTCAACTGCACATGCATTGCTGATTTGTAAAAGCACACAAGTTTTTCTTACCATGTTTATGAGAACGCAAGCTAAAAGAAGCAATTAGTTTTGGCTCCTGATGTAGCACGTATTATGTGATTTCAGGGTGCTTCATTTTACAAATGGAGCAATGTACAGAGTATCTGTTTTTAATTGTATTTTAATGATTTTATCTTTTATTGTATTTTAATTGAATTTTAATTGTTGTAAGCCGCCCAGAGACCTTTGGGTAGAGTGGGCGGCATATAGGTTAAATAAATAAATAAATAAATAAATAAATAAATAAATAAATAAATAAATAAATAAATAAATAAATATATTACACAGCTATCCCACAATCTTCATGTATGTGGCACAAACATCTATAAAAGGGAGGCCTTTTGCATACAGTTGTGCACATGCAGGCATCCACATGATCCACAACCATACTCACATCTGCAATTCTACAGACGTTGCCTTGTGCCATATAGAGGAATACCAGGGGTGACCAACATAATGGGGAAAGTAAAAAAATAATTTATTTACAGGACTACATTTGTACAATTATTCCCATGCAGTGAAGAGTATGCATCCATGGAGAAATTTCTGAGTTATGGCCTGGTATTCCTTGGCTCTTAGAAGTGTATTCTTTCACATGGAAGACCAAATAATTAGAGCACAGGTGTCAAAGACAAGGCCCGCGGGCCAAATCCGGCCCGCCAGACCTCGTCTGATGGCCCGGGGAGCCGCCGCCAGCCTTACAGATACAACCGGCCCTTTGATGGGGACAGGGCCACAGGGCCTGGAGCTTGGCGTGCGACTCCTTGGGGAACGTGTGGCTCTCCAGGATGTGGTAGCGCTCGCGGTAGTGGCCGCCGTGGAAAGCCATGACGGCGCGGGTGCGCAGCACCGACTCATTGCGATGGAGCGCCTCGGCGGCCTCCGGCGCCACCAGCAGCGACCACCGGAAGCACCCCAGGCGCTCCACGTCGCCGCTCTCCTCCAGGGTCTCGCACACCCCGGCCACCTGCTGAGGGCTGAAGTTGAGGAGGGGCAGCTGGAACATGGGGGCGGCCGAGTTGAGGCGGGGGGGCAGAAGCACGGCTGAAGGAGAGGCCGGAGAGGCGGCCGGGCGCTGCCCTCCGCCTCGCCCTCCCGTCGGGCTGAGGCGTCCCTGAGGAGACCAGCTCACCCACGGAGCGCTGAGGCGACGG